ACAGACCACAGTGCTTTAAAACAGAAATAAATATCAAGATGTCTCAAATTTATACGAATACATGGAAATTAAACAACTTGCTCCTGAATAACTCCTGTTATCAAACAATTCTTTGAAATTAATAAAAATAGGGTAAAACTTGCCAAAATTTTGGGATGCTGTTAAAACAGTACTAAGAGGAAAGTTTATAGCTCTAACATGTCTCAATTAAGAAGTTAGAAAGACCTCAAAATAACAATCTAAAATTGCACCTATAGGAACTAGAGAATAAAAACAAACTAACTTCAAAGCTAGCAGAAGAAATAACTAAAATTTTAAAAGAACCGAACTAAGTTGAGATGTAAAAATCTATACACAAGATCAATGAAACCAAGAATTGGTTCTTCACAAAAATAAACAAGATTGATAGACCACTAGGTAGATTAATAAAGAAAAAAAGATCCAAATAAGTCCAATGAGAAATGACAACAATGATATTATAACTAAACCTATAGAAATACAAAAGATCCTCTAATACTATTACGAAAATTTCTATGAACATAAATTCAAAAATCTTGAGGAAATGAATAAATTCCTGGAAACACAAAAGCTCTCAAGATTAAACCAGGAAGAAAGTAAAAACCTGAAGAGACCATTATAAGTTTTAAAATTGAATCAACAATTTAAAAATCTACCAACCAAAAAATCCCTAGACCAGATGGATTGACAGCCAAATACTAGCAGACATACAAGGAACTGGTAACAACCCTGCTGAAACTATTCCAAAAACTCAAAAAGGAAAGTCTTCTTCATAACTCATTCTATGAAACCAGCATCAGCCTGATACCAAAATCTGATAGAGACAAAACAACAAAAAAAGACAATGTCAGGTCAATATCCCTGATGAATATAGACACAAAAATCCTCAACAAAATGCTGGTAAACAAAATTCAGGAGCACATCAAAAAGTTAACACATCACGATCAAACTGGCATTATTCCTGAGATTCAAAGCTGATTCAACAAGTGCAAATAAGTAAATATGATTCACCACATAAACAGAATTAAGAGGAAAAACTATTAATATATGATCATCTCAATAAATGGAGAAAAAGCTTTTGATAAAATTCAGCATCCCTTTCCATTCATGATTAAAATCCTCCAGAGTCTTCGTATTGAAATAACATTTCTCAAAATAATAAGAGCCATCTATGATAAACCCACAGCCAACATCATACTGAATGGGCAAAAGCTGTAATCATTCCCGTTGAGAAATGAAATAAGATAAAGATGACCACTCTTACCACTCCTATTTAACCTAGTACTAACTAAGAATCAGGCAAGCGAAAGAAATAAAAGGCATCCAAATAGGAAAAGAAGATGAAAAGCTTTATAATTCTTTGCTGACAAATAATGTTATGCCTAGAAAACCCTAAAGACTCTACCAAAAGTCTCCTAGACCTCAGAAATGACAGATAAGAGACTTCAGTAAAGTTTCAGGACCCAAAATCAAAGAACAAAAATAAGTATATGCCAATAATGTTCAAGCTGAGAGTCAAATCAAGAACACAGTCCCATTTACAATAGCCACACACAAAAATAAAATATCTAGAGATATAGCTAATCCATGAGGCAAAGGGTCTCTACAAGGAAAACTACAAAACACTGATGAAAGAAATCAGAGATGACACAAATAAATGGAACAACATTCCATGCTCATGCATTGGAAGAATCAGTATCATTAAAATGGTCATACTGCCTAAAGTAATTTATAAATACAATGTTATTCCTATCAAACTACCAATGACATTTTTTCACAGAATTAGAGAAAGCTATTCTAACTTTTGCACAGGACCTAAAAATGCCCAAATAGGCAAAGCAATCCAAAGCAAAAAGAACAGAACTGAAAGCATCATGCTACCTGGCTTCAAACTATGCTATGCAGCTACAGCAAGCAAAACAGCATTGTATTGGTACAGAAACAGACACATAGACTGACAAAACTAAACAAAGAAACCAGAAATGGAGCTGCCCACCTCCAACCAACTAGTCTTCAACAAAGCTGACAAAAACAAGCAATGGTGAACGGATTCCATATTCAATAAATGGTGCTGAGATAACTAACTAGTAATATACAGAATAGTGAAACTTGGACCCTTTCACTATACAGAAAAATTAACTCAAGATGAAATAAAGTTTTAAATGCAAGACCTCAAACTACAAAAATCTTAGAAGAAAACCTAAGAAATACCTTTCTCTAAATAATTTTTGGCTAAGTCACCAAAAGTAATTGCAATAACCAAAAAAATTGACAAGTGGGACCTAATTAAACTAAAGAACTTCTGCACAACAAAATAAACTATCAATAGAATAAACAGACAATCTCCAGAAAGGACAAAATATTCACAAACTACACATTGAATAAAGGTCTAATATCTGGAATCTATGAGGAATTCCAGTGAGTCAACAAGCAATATCTAAATAACCTCATTAAAAATCTGGCAAAGGACATGAACAGACTTCTCAAATGACATACAGGTAGCCAACAAACATATGAAAAAATGCTAATTGTCACTAATCCAGAGAAATGCAAATCAAACCACAGTTAGACACCATCTCATACCAGTCAGAATGGCTGTTCCTAAGAGAAGTCAAGAAATATCAGATGCTGGTGAGATCTTGGAGAAAAGAGAGAATTTGTACATTGTTGATGGGAATGAAAATTTTTTCAGCCACTGTGGAAAGCAGTTTGGAGCTTCTGCAAAGAACTTAAAACAGAGCTACCATTTGACCCAACAATCTAATTACTGGGTATATACTCAAAACAATATAAATTGATCTACCAAAAAGATGTATGCACCCATAGGACCATTGCAGCACTATTCACATTAGCAAAGACATGGTATCAACCTAGGTGCCCATTAATGGTGGAGATAAAGAAAATGTGGTACATATATACCAAGGAATACTACACAACCATAAAAAAGAATAAAATTATGTCCTTTGCAACAACATGAACGCAGCTGAAGGTGATTATCCTAAGCAAATTAACACAAGAGCAGAAAACCAAAAGTTGCATTTTCTCACTTGTAAGTGGGAGCTAACTATTAAGTACAAATAGACATAAGGATGACAACAATAGACACTGGTGACTACTAGAGGAGGTAAGGTGGGAGACGGATGTGGGTTAAAAAACTACCTGTCTTTACTACTACCTATGCTCACTACTTGGGTGACAAGATCTGCACCCCAAACCTCAGCATCATGCAATATACCCATGTAAAAATATGCATGTATACCACCTCCCCTGAATCTAAAATAAAAAGTTGAAATTGGCCGGGCGCGGTGGCTCAAGCCTGTAATCCCAGCACTGTGGGAGGCCGAGGCGGGTGGATCACGAGGTCAAGAGATGGAGACCGTTCTGACCAACATGGTGAAACCCCGTCTTTACTAAAAATACAAAAAAAAAAAAAAAAATTAGCTGGGCATGGTGGCGCGTGCCTGTAATCCCAGCGACTCAGGAGGCTGGGGCAGGAGAATTGCCTGAACCCGGGAGGCGNAACCCGGGAGGCGGAGGTTGCGGTGAGCCGAGATCGCGCCATTGCACTCCAGCCTGGGTAACAAGAGCGAAACTCCGTCTCAAAAAAAAAAAAAAGTTGAAATTATATTTAAAAATTGGGACAGACTAATGTTTTTCAATAGAAAAACCAATAAATGAATTATGAAAAATTCAGAATAAGGCATTCTGTGTTTCACTAAATAGTATCAGAAAGATATTTGGGTATTCATAGAAGGGTATCAGTAACATACTATTTAGTGAATAAAGAAAAAAAGAAAAAGCACAAAAGAGAAGATAAAGATCCCATTGCTCTAAGATCCCATTGTTCTATGCTTTTTTATGCATGACCACAAAATTAGGACTAAATCAATATTACCCAAATCAAGCCTAGCTATTTTTGTGGAGTTTGATGAAAGTAGAATTTCATTTAAAACTTTGTACATCTCTTAATTATTTTAAAAGTTTTTGACAAATATCCTAGTTTTATAACTTAAAGTATTAAGTAATTATTATTCAAAACAGTTTAAATAGCCATTCAATAAAGAGTTTGCATGATTTACCAAAAGCGCCAGTTTGTAAACTGACTAGGCAACGTTTATTTTTCAAAATTTGCCCTCTAATTTGACTTAAACATACTCTTGAGACAACATTTCAATTGATTTGGATGGACGCATTCAAACCAATGTCATGAAACAGATGCTGTGATGCTATGTAAGCACAGCAATGAAAGTATAAATCATCGAGTAAAAAACACTGCCTATAGTGGCAAGAGATATCTAATCTAATAGTTCATTCGATAAAATCATAGCAGAAGTCTCCTAATATATTGTACGCCTGTAGTACTGCTATGATTTAAAGCAATAACCTGGAACCATAGTCTTCTTGCTTAGCTAATGAAACTATCCAAAGGATTGAGGTCATAGAACACATGTCTTCACAGCTCACTGAGAGCACACACACACAAACATCCATACACAACCTTTATCTTATGTTCCAAATTTCTGGACTCCAGGAGAAAACTAATATGTATTAAACACTAAGTGCTAGTTCCTATGCTAAAAAGTAGTAATATTCCTAATCCCTTTTTACAGATAGTGTAGATATTACTACTACTATGCTAAAAAGTAGTAATAGTGTTATTCTCATTTTCATAATGGTTAAGTAACTTGACCAAATTTATATAGCTTTCAAGAGGCAGAACTTGGACTGGAATTCAGCCTAGCTAGACGCTAAGGTTTAACCTCTTAACAACCATACTATCTCTGTTATCTTTCATCAATTTGGCAACAACATTCTCCTAAATGAATTATTAATTGATAGTGTAGATATGAAACCAAGAAGCTGTGAAATGTAGTAAAACAGTGGGTGAAAATAGTAGTAAAAAATAACAGAATATGATGCCATTGTGAATAAAAATCAAGTTATCAAGTTTTAATTGGTTTGATCCTATGTATGAAACTTACTTAATCAAATCTAAAGGCTGCTCCTTGTAGAAATAGGAAAATCGAGCCCAATTCTTGCGAAGTATGTATCTTTCATTAGCAGGATTGGGAGGTTCTGATGGCTTCCAATATTGGCCCTGCAGATATTCAGAGATGGGGGTACATAAAAGATGAAGCAAAAGACAAAGGTAAAGTAAATAAACACTGTTTTCCTAAGAAGGTTAGTAAACAAGGCTCTTTTCTTATACTTTTACATTTCATATTCAATTGATGTAAAATTATTTCACAAACTATAATAATATTTGTTTATCAAATTCTCACATACAGCTATCTCCAAATACACGTGTAGGACTTTGGCTTTACTCAAGCTGTTCCTTCACCTGGAATGCCCTTTCGTCTCTACTGAAACCCTAATATAATATTCACGGCCCAGAGAGACATATCACTATATAACTGGATAGGACTTTAGAAATGGGCTAGTACTTTTTTACAGATGAGAAAATTAAATTTCAAGCAATGTTAAATAACTAATCCAAAGTGATATTGCTAATACAGAAAGAGACTCCTGTTCTGTCCACACTGATAGCCATTTCCCAAAGAACTTAAAATAATACAACAAACTTCAGCATTTAAGAGGCTCAGTATTGCTTCATACATAAGTTCTTCTTCCATGGTTAGATACTGATTAATATTATTAATATCTTTTCATGGACTAGCAAAGTATTGTGGACACTGTGGTTGTTTAAGACATTCTGTTTTTACTGTAGACAAATGAACTGCTGAAGGAAGCACTGAATAAATATCCAGTTTAAAATTTAGCACGTGTGAAAACCTTTAGATAATAAGGTGTTAAATTTTATATCACCCAGATTCGAACTTCTTCTTCTTCTGTAGCTAATCCAACTGAATCTTAAGAAATTAAGCAACAAAAAAAGCAGCCTATGTGGGTATTTTGAAAAATTATCCTGCAAAGCATATAAGGGAAAATCCAGTACCTAATATTGCATTCAGAAGAAAAGAAAGATAAAAAAGTAAAATGAACAGTAAGTTATAGCTGTCTCTAATGATAGTTCAGTCAGTAAAACTGAATTTCCAATGAGTCTATATAACTCTACTGAAAGGCTACATGTATAGTTTACAAGGAAGAGCAGGCTTTGGGCTTTTGGAAACTATTACAGCAACACTGTTTTGAAAAAAAATGAGGAATTACTTAGCTGCCACTTGTTTCAGTGGAAATATTTGTTTCTTCTGTATTCCTGAGAACTATATTTCTTGCAAAGAGAATACATCATCAAAAAGTCTTTTATAAATATGGAAGAGTAAAACCGTAATAGAAGAAACGATAAAAATAGAAGTTCCAAGGGACAATCTCACATTAGAACATATACACATTCAGCTGCAGGATTTCCACTGCCAATAGGTGGTGCAATTTAAACACTGGCTATTCAGATGGGAATGTTTCCCTCAAAAACACCCAGAAACTAGGCTGAGTCTCTTGGTTCTAAGGCCAAGTTTTCAGGTTTGATTCAACAGGTGCATCTTGTAAAATGTGACTTCTCTGTTAAACTTACACAACTCAATGTTTTTGTACAGTGATTGCCAACCTCCCCCCCCCCAAATTCTTCTGAATATCAGTTGTTATAACATCTGAAACATTCTTTTTTTTTTTTTTGAGTCGGAGTTTCGCTCTTGTTACCCAGGCTGGAGTGCAATGTCACGGTCTCGGCTCACCGCAACCTCCGCCTCCTGGGTTCAGGCAATTCTCCTGCCTCAGCCTCCTGAGTAGCTGGGATTACAGGCACACGCCACCATGCCCAGCTAATTTTTTTATATTTTTAGTAGAGACGGGGTTTCACCATGTTGATCAGGATGGTCTCGATCTCTTGACCTCGTGATCCACCCGCCTCGGCCTCCCAAAGTGCTGGGATTACAGGCATGAGCCACCGCGCCCGTCCAACATCTAAAACATTCTTATGCACCGAAGCCTTTAGTTTGTATTGCAGTTGTACACATGCTTTATTTCTATGAGAGCCCTAGTCTGTGAACTTGGATTCGTGGTTGTGTTCCAATAATGCCTAACAGAATGTTTACATATAATTGAAACCAATCATGCATTAGATGAATGAATATGGCACGTAATTTAAACTCTTTACAGCTTCAAAATTTTATAAATGAGAAAAGAGCTAATGGGCTCAGATAGAAATTTCCAATTATTATGTTCTAAAATGTTCTTTTAATGTTACTGCTATTTTCAAAACGGGTTCTAATAAAAAGTCATGTGCACATGTAAAATTTTTAAAATAAATGTCCATTTGAAACTTTAAAGACACATTTCCTATATAACTCAGCATAACTGGTAAACCTCTCAGCTTGGAACCAGGAAGTCTTTGGGGATTTTCCTACCATAAGAGAAAACTAATTTGAAGTAAAGGAAGATTCTCTCTCCCAATAATGAACATAGTAGGAGGAAAATAGGCTCAGAATTTCACAATCAAACTATACATACATCGTGGAGTGGATAGGCTGATGAATAAGTGTTAGATGTTAGCAGTCTTTCAATCCCAAACCTTTTCTTCCCATCTTCTATGCCGAAAGGACATCTTGAGAGAATATAGTACACCTACAAGGTAAGTACAAAGAGACACTATCACATTTCAGAAATTCATGCTTTCTACATTTCTTTCAATCACAATTTAACAATGTCTACTTTGAATGTGTATACAGGCTCTAATTACAGAAGGAAGCTTCCCTTTGTTGTCTGGAAGAAGATGTAGAGTGTAGGATTACAAGGAGTTTACAGATAATTTAACTTCTGAGTGTGAGAGCTCCCCATTCCTTTGATGGGGTGCAGGAGTAAACAGATCATAATTTATTTTGCTTCACCTGTTCCAATCTCCTCTTGAGTTCTTTGTGCCAGAATTCCTACTATAATTAGCACTTCAAGTAGGAGATTAATTTCACTACTAACAGTTCAGTTGGGGGAATGTGGAATACAATTGATATTTATCCAAGCTGTCTTGAATATTTTTTCAATTAATTATTTTTACAAGCCCTTTTACCTGATATCCGAATTTATTAGCCAAGGTGATCCTGTCTCTACAGCCACTTTGCAACAGGTTGCATATTTCTATCAATTTATCCTGAAAATAATTTGAACTTTGATGTCCTCTGCTCTTGTATTTCTGTGAATTCAATCTCATCTCCTTTTTATCTTCCAGGAACTTTTCAAAATTTCTGTATTTCTAATTGCTGAATTGTTTTTTTAGTGTGATTTTAGAGAATAGTCCCCTACCTTTCCTTTCCTTTACATTTCACAATTCAAGGAATTATTGATTGAAATGGTTGTAGTTCTTGAATCATCATCATCTAAACTCATCATTCATATTAGGAGCAGCTCAATATTCCAACTCAATATATAAATAATAATTTATGCAAGAAGTTTTAATTTTTATAAATGTCAAAACATGTGATTTATTTGACATGTTTTGAATTATTTCCTTAGGAAAGATTTACCAAAAAAGATGGGATGTTAACAAAGTGGAAACATTTACTCTACCAGGTTTTAAGATGTATTATAAATTCTAAATGTATTTTAAATACATTTAATATTATACTACTAAAGCATAGTATTGTAAAATTTTTTAAAAATCCTGAATTTAGGCATGTAAAGATATTATTTGAAAAAATTATTGCAATAGAAAGAAAGTTTAAGGAGATGTGCAAACATCTGAAAGGTCAGACAGAAAAGTCATTTTATTCATAGGGAGAAGAAAGCAAGTTTCAGAGATTATCTTTCTTTGTGTTAAGGAGGAGCCGCTATACGTGACAATACTGGTTCAAGTTGAGGGTAGTTCAATGTTCAGATTCCTATAAGGAGGAGAGAAGCTTAAAGTTTGGTCAAATCAGGTCAATTGCTTGTTCTGATGGATGCATGGGAATAAACAGTTCAGCTAGCCATTTATGAAATGAGGAATGAGAATTTGGAAGAAGGGAAGTGTGTCTGGCCTTTGTTACTATACACTGTTAATAACAACAAAAAGGAGAAACTACAGGGATAAGGATAGATGTAAAAGAAATAAATTTTCCTGGTGCCAAAAGGGAAAGTGACTTCCCCCACCTCCTTTTCCTTGGAGCATAAGGGGGTCTTCAAAACACTCATAAAAAATGGCTATGTGTGGTTTTCAATTTTTTTGCAAAAAAATAAACTCATATTAACTTATTATAACGTTTCTGAACAGGATTTAATTTGAGGGACTGAGACGGACCCATCAATTTGAAAAGGGCCACTGTTAGAGCAACATAAATTCTGCTAAAATTGAAGCAAGAACAAATATCAAATTTATGGTGAAGCTTGGGTAGAAGAATGGTGAACTCACTGATCCTTTACAAAAAGCTTATGAAGACAGTGCCCCAAAGAGATCAACAGCTTACAAATGAATACGTCATTTTAAGAAGGGATGAGATAATGTTGAAGATGAAGCCCACAGCAGCAGACCATGCACATCAATTTGTAAGGAAAAAATTCACCGTGTTCATGCCCTAATTGAAGAGTACTAATGATGAACAGCACAAATAATAGTCAACACCACATATATATCAACTGGTTCAGCTTTCACCACTCTGACTGAAAAATTTAAGTAAAGCAAACTTTCCAATCAATGGGTGTCAATACTGTTGCGCTCAGATCACCTGCAGACAAAAGCAGCTTTCAACAGAAATTTTAAATAAGTGGTCCTAAAGAACTTCTTTGAAGAAATGTGACAGGAGATGAAACACGGCTTTGCCAGTACTAACCTGAAGATAAAGCATAATAAAAGCAATCGCTACCAAGAGGTGGAAGTAGTTCAGGGAAAGCAAAAACAGACTAATCACGAGCAAAGACCATGTTAACAGTTTTTTGGGGGATACTCAAGGAATTTTGCTTGTTGGCATTCTGCTTATTATGAGAGTGTTTTGAGAAAATTAGCCAAAGTTTTAGCAGAAAAACTTCTGGGAATTCTTCAGCAGAGAGCCCTTCCTCACAGGGACAATGTTCCTGCTCACTCCTCTTATAAAACGAGGACAATTTTTGCAAGAGTTTCAGTGAGAAATAATTTGGCATCTACATTTCAGTCCTGAGTTGGCTCAGTCTGACTTATTTTGTTTCCTAATCTTAAAATGTCTAGAATGGGCATTCCATTTTTCTTCAATTAATAATGTAAATAAGACTGCATTTACATGGTTAGATTCCCAGGACCCTCAGTTCTTTAGGGATGAATTAAATGGCTGCTATGATCACTTACAAAAAATGACTGGACCCTGACAAAGCTTATGTTGAGAAATAAAGTTTAAATTTTATTTCTTTCATTCTGTTTATCCACAAAATTTTGAAGCCCCCTCCTATTTCCTTTAGAGAACTTATAAATTCTTTCTTTGTCCCTTTAAGATATGTGTAAAATCTTTTAAAGAGCTAAATAAGGCTCTTGCCAATTTTATAAACCAGGCATGTTTTTCCTACGTTTTCTTCAATTAATCATTTTTAAATGTAAGCATCCAGAAAAGCAGAATACCTGTCTCCCAGTCTCCATGGGAGTTTAGCCTAAGCACCTGGCTACATGCTGTAACTACTTCTTGATATAGAGATATGAGAAGTTTTATTTTTTCTTGGAATAAAAGCAAGTAACTAACACAGATGAACATTTCAATTACCAGCTGAATTTAGGATGAACTATGTGGCAAACGGTGCTGTCAAGTCAAACTGTTGGGAAGGAAGATCTATGAGTATTAACTAAGTCATACAGGGAAGAGTGGTTCTGTGTAGTAAGCAGTTTTCCAGAATATGAAATGATTCCTTTAACTATCCCTGTCTTCCAGGACTACAGAACTCAGATAAAATTCAACATTCTAAGTACTGATGCAAATATAGGCAGAGTTCAGCGGAATAAAATTCAGAGGTAGAGATACAAATATATAGATACTTAGGTTATAACAAAAGGTGGCATGGTAAAACAGTATGAAAAGTTGAATGTTTTCAACAATTGGTGCAACCAGACTGACTATACACTTGACTTACATTTAGCACAAGGCAAAAAAATCAATTACAGGTAGATAGAAGTTGTCAATGTAAAAAGTAAAATAATACAACTTTCAAGAGATGATATAGAAAATTAACTTCATTACCTTGGGGAAAGTTGAATATTAAGAGCATTATTAATATCATAAAAAGTTGAGAAAGTGGGCTATATTAAAATTAAATACATCTATTTAACTAAAAATATTCAAAAGGGAAACACAAAGTAAGATCGGTAGAATATATAATGAATAAAAAAACTCAGATTAAGAATATACAAATAACTACTGCAAATTAACAAGAAAAAGGAAGACCTAATTGAAAACAGCCAGCGACTTTGCCATATACTTGACAAAATTGCATTTCTAAATGGTCAAAAAACAGATACAAGGAGATCAATCTCATTTAGTCAGGGAAGTGCAAATTAAAATATTAATGACACATACACAAATAATTTCTATACCAAAAAATGAAAATGAACAAAAGTTCATACAAGAGCTAAATTGATCAACCAAATAAAGCTTGAGTTAAAGAAGCCAGACTATAAAGAATATATACTGTATGATTGCATTTTTATAGAATTTTTAAACAAACCAAACTAATCTCTGCTGTAAGAAGTTAGTCTACCTCTGCTGAGCAGAAAGGGAATAGTGAATGGGAGGAGGCACCAGAGCTTCTAGATGGCTAAGAATATTTTCTCTTTAAGTGCTGGTGGTGGTCACATGGCTGTGTTCATTTTGTGGTAATTATGACTTATGGGCCTCTATTTATTTTATGCATTAAATAAAGAGACAACATGAAAGGCTGATAATTTCTTGTGTCCAGAAAGATATGTATGTGGAAAACCAAGTACTCTTATATGTTGTTACTAGGAGTCTAAATTAGTACATCTTTTTGCAAAATGTGACAGGTAATATATATAAAAATTTAAATATGGTGGAATATAAGCCATTACAATTAAAAATCATGACTACATATACAGAAATACAACATTGAACATAATTAACTCCAAATGTTTTCAAGGTTTCATATTACAAAGTGCAATTACAAATAGAATTGTGTCAAAGGAAGGAAGTTTGCATGTTATTATTAAAATAAATTGAATTTATTAGAATTCTTAAAAATCGAAGTAAATAGATGTTCTTTGCCATTTTCCCACCGTGAAGGAGGCAAATTATCCTATGTACGTTTTACAACTACAGTACTATCAATAGGACCACGGTTTGGAAAGCCAGCTGCATATGCTAATCTAATACAAACGAAAAGTGGCATTAACATCACATATTCACAGATTTAAGGGCTTGAATAAAAGCTAATTAGGAACCCCCCCAAAAAAAATGTGCATGTCCTTAGATCTCAAAATTTTACATGTGGTATCTATTTTGCAGAGCACTTATATTTATGTTGAAATATGTAAATACCAGCCTGCAAACTGCAGAGTTGTTTGTAATATCAGAAAAGTTGGAAGCAACCTGAATAGCTATCAAAAGCAAAAACGTTTAATAAAATTATATGTATACTATAGAATATGAGCAATCATTGAAACAAATACATTAATATGTACTGTCACAAAAAGATGTGAAAGAATATACTGTTAATTGGTGTTTGTCACTGAAAAATAAGTAAAATGGGGATTAATATAACCTATTTTTTCATTTTATGATACATACCTCTTTAATGTTTCATATTTTCACAATGAGGATGAAATTGTGCTTTACTTGTACAATTGAAAAATTTAATAAGGTAAATGACCCATGGAAGTGTTATTAAAATATTGAAAAATGCTTATAATATAAATGATGTGATGAAATAATGTACATCTTACTGATAAATTCATTACTTAAAAAACACTTATGAGTGTTTATGTACTGGGCATTGAGCATACGATCGTAAAACTAGTGGGAAGATACATACTAATAAAAAATGCATAAAAATAATTTTTTTAATATTCTAGTTCCTCTGAAGTGAATAATGTAGTTCTGAGCCACATTACTAATTCTGATCTGTACCATAAGAGGTATAGTGAGGTCTGAAGGGCTGACACCATCAGAGTTGATTTACAAAGATAATTGTGGATGTCTATGTAAGACAGTGGCAAAAGCATGGGTAGGAAGACCAACGAAAATGCATATTTGTAGATCTCATGAATGACGAAGTCTGGCCTTCTTCCACAACAAAAGGTATAAACACATAATCATATATATTCATCATATACACATATACAAATCTATATATTGGTGTGTATATACACAAACATATCACATATATGGACTATAAAAAATATACTATATATTGTGAAGCTCAGATGCCATGATGGTTGTGAAATGCTTTGAAATATACGAAATTTTGGATCATTTGGTAATAGGGGAGGTGGGGATAGAAGGGTACAAATTCAAAAGAGAGTTAGGAGTTAAACTGATAGAACCTAGTGGTTGGTGAACATGGCTGGTAAAAGAGCATTAGCATAAATAAATCTTAGGCTTCTTACTGATGCCTGAATGGAGGTGCTGTTCATGGGAAGAGGGATACTTAGAAGAGGAACTGGTTTGGATTATTTTTGTCTGTTTGCTTTTTGGTACTGATTGTCAGGAGGACACGTGGGAATAATAGCTAAAATGTTTGGCTTTAAGCAGGTCAAATATGGGTGCTTTTGATAGGTACACAGATATGATTTGTAGGTGACTGAATATATGAATCTGAACTTTTTAAAATACTTTACAAACCTAAATTTAAGATAATTTAAAAAAAAACTATCAAAAAGCAACTGTGTCGGGAAGAAGTACACTTAGAACGTATAAAATCCAGCTGTGAAATATTATTTGACAAAAAAGATACTGACATGAATCCATATATTACGTATTATTAGTGAAATGAAAAATTTTCCCTATAAATGGACTGAAATTTAGCATTGGTGTCCTATAAAAACTAGTTCTCTAGCTTTAAGGAAAGACATTGCAATTAAAATTAGATATATCTTATTTGTTTCTCTTTCTATACACATAGAAATTCCTTGGCCATATGTTTAATTTAAATCTCATATTGATAGTGTAAGCTTGTCTACCAGCACATATGGATAAATCTAGAGCTTTGTTCCTGTTAAAAAGTCTAGCCTTCTTCCACAACAAAAGGTATAAACACATAATCATATATATTCATCATATACACATATACAAATCTACATATTGGTGTGTATATACACAAACATACCACATATATGGACTATAAAAAATATACTATATATTGTGAAGCTCAGATGCCATGATGGTTGTGAAATGCTTTGAAATGTATGAAATTCTATACTAATGTAAGATGCTCTTGTAATACTATTCAGTTTGTATATCCAAGGAATCTAGTGTTCTGGATAAGGATAAAAAGGAAGGGACTTTTTCTATATTAACTTCCCAAATTTCTTCCTCAATAATGCAAGAACAATGTTGCTACACTATGAAGGAAGTTAAATTGTGCTTTAAGGTTGAATTAGCCTAAGGTATTGACACTGTTTACAAAGAACAAGTAGCGGTAAATGAATATTGGCATTTCTATTCCCGATCAAGTTCCTAATTTGTTCCAATGAGTTCATTGGCTTTTTATGAACAACTTTTCAAGGCAACAAATATCTCTAAAATACTTTTCAGTTTTCAGACTGCATTACATACATTATTTCATTTGATTTTCACAATAATGTCAGTATTATCATTATTTGTTTTAAGAGAAATCATCGTATTTAGAAAGAAGCAGAGTTACGACTTGAAACAAGGTCTGATTCTGTGTCATTTGCTCTTTATTCCCACAAATCCTGACTTAGGTTTTTGTTGTTGTTTAATCCTGTTGTTGTAAAAGTGGAGAACATTTTTAGTTTGTGAATGTGTATGCTAAATTCTAGGAATTACATTTTGTTGAATATTCCTGTCAGTGAATTTTAAAAATATTTATTTAGGAACTAGAAAAAAATGAAATCAGACCTTTAATTCCTCAGGAAAAGAAAGTAAGTAATCTCAAGGAAAAGGATCTTATTGTTAGAACCCTGGTGATTAAATTAATATACAAAATCAAAAGATAACAAGTGTTGGAGAGGAAGTGGAGAAAAGGGAACCCTTACACACTACAGATGAGAATACAAATTGGTACAGCCATTATGAAAGACAATATGGACGATCCTCAAAAAATTAAAAATAGAGCTACCATATAATCCAATAATCCCATTACTGGGTATATACTAAAGGGAATGAAATTAGTATATCTAAGAGATATCTGCCATCCTATGTTTACTGCAACATTATTCACAACAGCCAAGATGTGGAATCAACCTAAATGTCCATCAGTGGATGAATGAAGAAAGAAAAGATGTATACACAGACAAATAAATTTTATGGCTACATATAGCCATAAAATAGAATGAATTGTTGTCATTTGTGACAATATGAAACTAGAGGACATTAAGGTCAAAATAGAAAGATAAACACCATATGATCTCACTCATATGTGGAATCTAAAAGGTTGTTGTCATTGAAGTAGAGGGTGGAATAGTGGTTAGCAGAGAATGGGGAGAGGCAGGGGGAGGAAAGAATGGGAGAGATTGGTCAACGGGTACAAAGTTATAGTTAGACAAAAGGAATAAGTTCTGGGGTTCTATTGCATAGTAGAATGACTAGCATTAACAATAAAATATCAAAATAGCTAGAAAAAAGGTTTTTGGATGAGTTCGTGTCCTTTGTAGGGACATGGATGAACCTGGAAACCATCATTCTCAGCAAACTGACACAAGAACAGAAAATCAAACACCGCATGTTCTCATTCATAGGTGGGTGTTGAACAATGAGAACACATGGACACAGGGAGGGGAGCATCACACACTGGGGTCTGTCGGGGGAAAATAGGGGAGGGACAGTGGGGGGTGGGGAGTCGGGGAGAGATAGCATGGGGAGAAATACCAGATATAGGTGATGGGGAGGAAGGCAGCAAATCACACTGCCATGTGTGTACCTATGCAACAATCTTGCATGTTCTTCACATGTACCCCAAAACCTAAAATGCAATAAAACATAAATAAATAAAATAAAAAGAAAAGAGGTTTCTGAAAAGTCTCATCACAGAAAAATGAAAATTTTAAGGTGATGGATATGCTACTCATCCTAATTTGATCATTACATAATATATACATGTATCGAAACATCATATTTTATCACATAAATATGTACAATTATGTGTCAATCATATATTTTTAAAAATAAGTAAGCTATAAAAAATAACATAGAATCTTATTTTTTTCCCTCTGAAAGTCAGATAAATAACAATAATAATATCTAACACTTGTTGAACACTTGGTATATGCCAGGCACTGCTCAAACCTTCTTATATGTTAACTACTTTATTTATCTGGGTAACCTATGAAGTGGATACTATTCCTGTCTAAATGCAAAGAAACAGTGGCACAAAACCATGATTGTTTCTGAGACAGGTTTTTAATAGGAAACTTAAAGATCCTAGGACTTCAAATGGAAAGGGAACAATACTATTTAGAAGGTGGAAAATAGTTTTAAATGAAGGAAAAAACATTTTGAGGTTTCTCAAATTCTATCCATATAGAAACAAATTTAAAAATTTTGTTTCCATTTGGAATTAAAAATATTTCCCCTACTATGCACTGAATGTATAAAACTATAAAATCATTTTCAAAGATCTTACAAAGTTCTCTAGGTCTCGATTAATTGCTTTTTCCAATATTGTATAACATCTCCTTCTTTACTACATACATACCATCAACCACTCATATTTAAACAACAGTGTGAGAGTTAGGGAGGGTAACAGGTTTATGTGTTCCAATCATACCTTCAAAATTCCCAACATCACCAAATGCTTATATCCTATACAAAACACCTTGCAGAAATGGTATGACATATGCACATGTATCAAAGCACACACAAGCACACATCTCGTATTTGAAGAGACGTGCCCAAAGGTCTCTCTACCTACAATTCTGTTTCTTGATGAGGATGGAAAGAAGGTTGCTTGATCTTCAATGAGGAACAGCTCCTGCCGATGTCTGCTGAATTGGGCAGTAAAATATTCAGGATGGGGATACTTCACATTCTGTGGGAGTCTTACAGGTCCAAGCACATAGCTTATAGGAGTGTGCTTAGGGCGTGGGATATCACTCTCCTTAATAGGCATTTTGATTCCCAAGACTTCAGCATAGGTAACTAATACCTCCCAAGGGGCATGGATCTTGACAAAATAAGTTCTTCCGTCTTCAGAGTCCTTCATAAAAAAGGCAAAACAGCAGAAAGCGTCACTGGTCATTTTGTTACTGAGATGATTGGATAAAAGAGACAATATTTTATAAAATCTCAAACACATCAAAGCATTTTCAATTTTTTGAAATTTTTAGGCAAAACTTTGAGAAAACAAAATTCACAAAACATAGTTATAGTTACATAAACATGTATATATGTATACATATAATGTGTTTGTAAATATGAGAGACAGAGAGATAGAGACATACAAAGACACACACAAATGAGAAAGAATATTTTTTTAAAATGTATTTCATGGTCAGTGTATACTCATCTCTAAATCTACAATTACCTATGTAGTTCTGGGCAATTTCTTAAGTCCTTAGTAACAACCTATAAACTCAAAATTTTACTTAGGTTATATCAGGGATATATATAAACTGCAAAATGTATTCATCCTTCTTACCCAGCTTCTTTGTATAGTCTACCCAAAGAGGAAGAACTTTAGGTAATGAAGGCTCATTGCATAGGAAAAAGTTATGGATTGTGTGGTATAATAATTTATCAGTTCAGTAAAAATGGGAGAACGAGAGAGTAATCCTTTCATTTTTCTTTTTCTTTTTTTCTTTTTCTAAGACAGAGCCTTACTCTGGTGACAAGGCTAGAGTGCAGTGGCACAACCATGGAACTCCTGGGCTCCAGCAATCCTTCCACTTCAGCTTCTCAAGAAGCTGGACTATAGGCACCATGCCCAACTAATTTTTAAAAAAAATTTTTTGTAGAGACAGGATCTTGCTATGTTGCCCAGGCTGGAACTATTAGAAACTTCATACACAAGGTGGTTTATTAAATAGGCCTTTAAAAACAATTTTGAATGAAATTGTAGAAAAACAGTAAATAAAATGAGATTAAAAAGAAAACTTGGCATATTCGTGAACAGGAAGAACGTCTTGGCTTAAATAGAAGGTTATGTTGCAGGACAGCATGGTTAATTATTTAGGGTTCCAGATTATAGGAAGACTTCATAATGAAACTGTTATGAGAAAAAGGCTAAACTTTTTCTTTAAATTCTTTATGGAAATTATGTCCAATTATAAACTGTTTGATTATTACATCGTCACAATACTTACCTACTTACCTGTACGACAAAGGCCTTATCATCCTATTACACGTATCTGTAGCCAAAAGAGCTATTGTATTGCCCGCACAGAGTCTGTCCAGTCAAAGGCCAGAATAGGACAAAACAATACTTAAAGGGTGGTATGAATTAATAACTATATTTACCCTTTTGTCTTCAATTTCCAACTCAAGACCTGTTTTTCTGAGATTTTTTTCAAACTCTTTTCTTCTTTCCTATAACAAAAATAACCAATAGAATTATGTAGAACACTTTTGCTTTATTTGCTCAGTATTAATAGATTCAATATGCAATAGCTGTGACTCTGGATGGGTCTCTGCCCTTCGCATGGCTATATGTAAGTGTGCGCCATCTGAATGTCAAGTACTGCTTTTCTCTTGCACTATAATTCACAACAACTACAAAAATGCAGTGTATCCAGAAATAATAACCAGGAAATACGCAGAGCCTCTATCTAAAGAAATGTACAAAACTTTACTGAATAACACAAATTAAAAAAAACTTTATAAACAGAGACATATGCTCCAAGTTGAAAAGACTCACTATTACAAAGATCAATAATCTTCAAATAAGTTATATATTTAATGGAATTTCAAGCCAGTATGTCATCAAGACTTTTTAATCCTGAAGGTCAAAATGGCTTCTATTAGCAAAAAATAAACTTAAGTTTAACTATAGGTCATTACCGAAATATACTAAATAATCACTTGGGTGCTTAGTTTTACATTTGTTTGTTTTGTAGTGACAAGATCTCATTCTGTCAGGCTTGCGTACAGTGTTGTAATCACAGCCCACTGTGGCATCAAACCCCTGGGCTCAAGTAATCCTTCCCAGCCTCCAGAGTAGCTGGGACTACAAGCAGGTGTCACTACATTTGGGTAATTTTTTTAAAACTTTTTTTGTAGAGACCGGGTCTCATTATCTAGCCTAGGCTGGCCTTGAACTCCTGGCCTCAAATGATTCTCCTGCCTTAGCCAGCCAAAGCACTGGGATTACAGGTATGAACCACCCACCCAGTCTTTATTAAAATAATGCATGGATGACAAAAAAAAGTATGTTTCTTTTTAAAAAAAATTTTATTGAGTTAAAATATAAATATAAACTTACAATATTTACCATTTTTAGATGTAAGGTTAAGTAGTAATAAATACATTTATATTGTTTTCCACTCTTCATCCCCCTTCTTCTCCCTCCCTTTCCTGGCTTCTGGTGCCACCAATCTACTCTATCTTCATGAGATCCATGTTTTTACCTCCCACACATGAGTGAGAACATAAGACATTTGTCTTTCTGTGCTTGGTTTATTTCACTTAACATAATGGCTTACAGTTCCATCCATGGCTGCAAATGATAGTACTTCATTTATTCAATGGCTGAAAAATATTCCATTATGTGTATTTACCATGTTTTCTTTACCTATTCATCAAATAACGGGTACTTTTCCTTTGCTGTGCAGAAGCTGTTTGGCTTGATATAATCCCAGTGGTCTATTTTTCCTTTAATTGCCTGGTCTTACACAAGAAGTCTGTCTAGACCAATGTCCTGGAGCATTTCCCCAGTGTTTTCTTCCAGTAGCTTCATAGTTTCAGGTCAAAGCTTTAATCCCCTTTCACTTGATCTTTTATATGTTAAGAAATATGGGTCTGGTATCATTCTTCTACATATAGTTATCCAGTTTTACCAGCATCGTTTATTAAAAAGTCCACCCTTTCTTCATTGTATGCTCTTGGCCACTTTGTCATAGATGAGCTTGTTTTAAATACATAGCTTTATATCTAGATTCTCTATTCTATTCCATTGGTCTGTGTGTCTGTTGTTATACCAGTACCTTATTGAAGGTATGAGATGCAGAATAGTCACTTAGTTATGCACATTTGGAGGAGGAATGTGGGCTGGAAAAGTAAATTCTGGAATTGTATGATTAATACATATAAAATCATAAAATATATAATTTTAAAACTGTGAGACAGAATGATAAAATACATCAGTGTAAGTTAAGGAAAGATGAGGATTAGGGACTGTGCCCTGAGGCACTTCAATAATAAGAGATTTGGAAGAAGTAAAGACTGAGAAGGAGCAACTGTGAAATAAGAAAAAACGAAGATAATGTGGAGTCCTGGAAGCCACGTGAAGAACATACACAATCGAAAAGGGAAGGATCAACTGTTTCAAGTATTGCTTATAGGTAAAGTAAGATGAGGGCTGAGGCTTGACCACTGGATTTTATACAAGATGCGCACAGTGGTTGGGATGAAGGCTTGAAAGGAATGGGTTAATATATAATTTAGTAAAAAAAAAAAAAAAAAAGAAACAGTAGCTGGTAGGAAAACTGGGACCAAAAAGAGGGGTTTTAATTTTTTTAATATAGAAAAATTAACAGTGTATTTGTTCATTGAAGAAAATGTTCTGGTAAAGAATATTAAATATAATTTAGGAGAAAGAAGAAATAATTTTACAAGCAATATCCCAAAATAGGTATACAGAAAAGAGCTAATAAAGCAGGCATTAAACTGCTGACCTTAGAGAGACCTGCTGCAACTTTAGAAAGGTAGGTTCCAGTATCTGGGGCCTTGCTTTTCTGAAGAGTTCCCTCCACTCTCAGACCCAATAAGAGTGGCTCATTTTATTTATACTGTTTGTACAGTGTTATTTATGCTGAATATCTGATTTCCTTCTGAAAGTATGAAATTTTGGTATGTGCTAGGCAGAAGGCGACAAGGTAACCAGCCCTAATAAAAACCTAGGGGACTTAGTCTGTAATGGGCTTGCCCAATAGCTATTTCACATGTGTTTACACACACTGTTGCTGGAAAAAATAAGTGTATATCCTATGATTCTACTGAGAGAGAATTCTTACAAGCTTACTCCTGGTTTCTTCTGGACTTTTCCCATGAGTTTTTTCCCTTGCTGGTTTTGCTTTGTATCATTTCACTGTAACAAATCATCTCCATAAGCATGACTATATACTGAGTCCTGTGATTCTTTCTAATGAACCCCTAAATTTGAGGGTTGTCTTTGGCACTCCTGAATAGTAGGCAAGAAGAAACAGAATCAAGGGCAGAAGTGGAGGAGTTGGCTTTAGGGAAAAGGATAGTTTGTCTATGGTAACCGAAAGTAAGGTAACTTACACAGGCAAAACTCCTGGTGGATGGACAGGTGTGGTGGTGGAAATTTATAGGTTTTCTCTTCTTGCTTCAGTTTTCTCAATTAAGCAGAAAAGCGTAATCAGTTAAGTTTGAAGAAGTGTTGGAAGTGTAAGAAGAGAAAAACTGTTATAAAACAGTCATCTAGGAGAATGGGAGACAAGAGAATATGGAAGGAAAGTATGATTCCCACACAGCATGAGGACCCAGTTGAGGTCCATAGGCACAAATATAAGGTAAAGTCAGTCAGTAAATTCTAAGTTTTTCTGTAGCCTTGATCTCCTGGGCTCAATTGATCCTCCTGCCTCAGCCTCTTGACCTGAGCAGCAGAACAAGGCTCTGACTCAAAAATTTAAAAAAATTAAAAAATAGTTGTGAGTTGCCAGGTCATGAGAAGGAATATCTATAACCGATTAATAATAATACACTCATATAGAGTTCAAGACCTCAAAGCCAGATGTCGCACATGAGCTACACTTTAGGAAGTCTACTTTTGGGTAGGGAAGTTAAGTGTATTATTGGTTTTAAATAGGAAAGTTGCATAATATTAGGTGGTTACTCCTTTGAAGTTTTATGGATTGAAAAAGAGTGTATAGGGGCGTATGGGTTGAAATGTGTGCTAGCTGACGAAAGAATGGATGGTGGAGGACATCAGTTTTAGTCTGCTTGGCAACATCTTTCCAGTGGGGCTATCAATCACAATGTGCTGTCCTTCCCCCCCCAAAAATGGTAAGTTTTTCTTTCTGTATGGGTGCTGGCATGTAGTAGGTGGGGCTGGTTTGACTAAAGTTGTTTTGTCAAGTACAACTAGGAGAGGGGCAAGTGACTTGACTGGATATGCAACAAAGTAATTACAATTGTTGACCATGAGGCATTGGCTGAATAAAGATTGAGAGAGGAATAAGAGCAGTGAAATGTACTAAGATGATTGCATCTTATCTGGTCCTGGTGAGACTGAAAGAAGAATGTGGGTCAGAAAGATTTGAGGCGTAGTCAGACAGTTTTCTCACAGAATGAGGTTATAAGGAGTTGCAGTTATTAGTAATGACAAGTTCTACATGAGTGAATGGCTGAGTAGAAGTTTAGATCAATGGAAAAGGGAAGTCAAGGAACAGAAAGGCCAGAATGCCAAAATAATCATCTAAGTATGAATTGATATTATCAGTGATCTGAAAAAGATTGCTGGAGAGACTGACAGTGATCCTGGAGCTAAAATTGTTGAGGAATAGAAGATCCAGAGACAGACAAATGACAAAAACAATGCAGGGTAATAATAAATCTGATGAGATTTAAAGCTTGGAAATTTCAGGGACAGGTGAAGAACAGAGTACAATCAACAAGATACAAGGAGGGCAAGCAGCATTTACCCCATCTTTAGGGAAATACTGTGTAAAGAAAAATAATCATCACTTGAAAGCCTTGCTAGGGGAAGCAACAAACCTCAAAGAGGTTTGAAGGGAACTTTTAGAGAATAGATGAAAATGATGACGGGTCATGAATTTCAGAGGCCTGGTAGAAGGCTTTCCAGGGAGTGGGTGGAGAAAAGGGGCAGTCCTGTATATGAACAGAATCTTGTGGGAATAATATCTTTATTTTTTATTTTTATTTTATATAACATTTATTTTTCAAGTACCTAAGTCAATGTGTGTGTATGCACACACACATACATGTGTGTCTAAAATGAATTAATTTATGATTTCAAATATTGAGTATTGAGCATCCATTATACTCCAATCACTGTTCTAGGATTTGGGTATACAGCAATGAAGAAGACAAATTACTTCACCTCAGAAACTTAATTTACATTGTTGGAGACACAAACAAGTAAAAACATGAATAAGTAAGTTCATAAAGTGAGGTGTTATAATACAAATAAAAGAGAATCAGGAATAGAGCACAATATAAAGGCTATGCCGGGGGAATGGATTAGTCATACCTTTCCAAAATAAAAAATATCATACGAAAGGTAATTATTATTGTTTTTTTTTTTGAGAGGGAGTCTCACTTTGTCACCTAGGCTGGAGTGCAGTGGCACAATCTCAGCTCATTGCAACCTCCCTCTCCTGGGTTCAGGCAATTCTTTGCCTCAGCCTCAGCCTGCCAAGTAGTTGGGATTATGGGTGCCTGCCACTATGCCCGGCTAATTTTTGTATTTTTAGTATAGATAGGGTTTCACCATCTTGGCCAGGCTGGTCTTGAACTCTTAACCTCACGATCTACCCACTTCAGCCACCAAAAGTGCTGTGATTACAGGTGTGAGCCACTGCGCCTGGCCAAAAGGTAATTATTATATTCAGACACACACCTCAAATTTTGGAAGTTACATTTCATATCTAAAGTGAGCTATAAAAATAATCCATTACTTAGAAGAAGAAGAAAAAGAAGTTAGTATGCAAAATATCCAAAAAACAACATTGACTTTACATGTCTATTCTTAGGCTGCCTACTTCACAGTTATCTTACTCAGTTTCAGTTTTCAGTTGACACATCAGGGCCTCTCACTTTTACAACATAATTTGAGGCAGATGTCTATGTGAAACTATAAAATGTGCTTCTTTTTATTATTCCCACTTTTCTTAGACAGCACTTACCGCCTTTAACTCTGAATCTTTCTTTATGTCATCAACATAGGAAAGCACAAAGTCAATTTGCCTAATCCCATCTCGAAAGAAGATAGAATCTTTGCTTTGCTGATTTCTTTGAAACTGCAGGAGACATAAATGATACAATTTTAAATTATAGTTTTATTCTGAAATGACAAAAGCACAAAAGGAATTATTTATAATTTAGTCACCAGTTACTTTTTTTCAGTCTTGAAATGTCATGTCAAGACAAATAACCAGAGTTTTCAGCAACAGATTATGCTTTGTTTTATAAAGTGAAATTCCATATAAAACATTAAGAAATAATGACTCAGGGGGAAGATAAGCATGTTAGCTACATGCGCATACAACAAAAATGCTGCAAAAATGCCAAAATATGAAATGAATACAGGTATACATTGATCCCAAAATGGATATTCAGAGAGAGACTTGTTATCTTCATTAAACAACATATCACTTAATCCACTATATAATTCATGGCTGCACACAACTTTGGGGGTAATATCAATTACAGACAAGTTAATGGAGTCTCACTATAAGAAAATAAATTTATGATTAATGTCTATTCTATGTTTTTATAAAATTGTCACTTCCAAATTCAACTTTGTAAGGATTAAAATAAAATCAAGGTGCAGTTAAATATTAGAAAGCAGGTAGCTTATTAGCTGGTGTCTCAAGGCAGGTTTCATGCAACTCACCCTTCAACATCAATTTCCCAGGTGAGCAAAAATCAATCCTTTGTTTAAATTTGCATGAATTCTCTTAGTATAACAATCACACTTACAAGTTCAACTTTCATATGTTGTATAGTTAGTTCATTAATTCCTTCACTTTCAAAACAGCAAAAACACTAGAGAGCTTCAGAAGGAAGAGATTCCATGTATGACTTATTTGGCTTTCTTCAAAGTTTATATGTAATATTTAATACTTATAATGGCCTACATGTATTATTATACTTAGAATTATGCAAGCAGATAATATAGTGGCTGTAAATGAGATAATTTTCCAGCTGCCTTAGCTCACGTGCAAATGAGTAACTATATGGTTTTAATTTTAACACCATTGTTTCTATTAATTTTTGAGTTTCTTTTATAGTACCCTATGGCATTTTTTACCCAAGTCAGGTGAGACAGGCCTCCCAGAAAAGGGAATGAATGTAGATCAGTTACATGCAAATAAGCCATAAACCTCATATTTGATCTGTGGTTTATGAACAAAGTAAGTGCATTTATACAGCTAATGCAAAGGTGATGTGTCTCAGAAAAAACTAGCTCCAATGCACAGGAAGAAATGAGTGGAAAATGGAACAAAAAAATTTAAAAAAAAAAAAAACATCCAGGAAACCTACAGATTAAGTGCCAAGATACAGTCACTCAAATGTTATGTTTGAGTTCTCTTCACCTGGGCCAAAGGATAATAATCTCCTATTTCCTAAAAGAATCTGAGAAAAATCAAACTGCTATCACATTATACTTTGACTATAAATCACTAAAAATGGAAAAGAAAGAAAAAACAAAACAAATCACTGGCACTCTTGTAAATTATCACAGCATTAGCATCTTATGAAATTCACTAAAATTCTTGGAAGTCAGCTGAGGCAGAAAAAATATACTTCTTAGGCTAAGTAAAATCAAAGCTCAAAAATTAGAGGAGAAAAAGTAATCCTCTTGCTTTAAGTCTGTGATGGTTATATTTTATATGAAAGAGGGATTTTTGTTATTTTTGTTTCGTTTTCAAAAATTAATATATTTACAGGTACCTATTTACACAAGCTAAATCTGGGTACACAGGGAGTAGTTCTGGTGACAGAACATGTGCACATAGGAATTAACAAAAGTCACATTCAGAGTATCTGACAACTAGGAAATAGACAAAGTAGCTAAGAGAACAGTAACTCCAATGATTTTCTTGAGTGCTTAGCCAAAAATGGGTATGCCCACTGTCTTCATCAATGAAAGCTAAAGGCTAGCTAGGAAGACCCAAATTTCTATCATTATATAATATCCTGATGATAAACTGTAAATCTGTTTTAAATACGAAAAAAATCACTGGGAGCCTTGTAAATCACTATGAGGCCGATGTCTTAGGACTATTAATAAAAATCAGTTAATGCTGAGGCAGAAAAATCTGATAATTCTGTCAATATAACTGAGTACTACTAAAACACATGATGCTTTTGTTTTGCTAAAAACATGATATAAATATATTTTGTAGTATGTGTGTGCATTTGTTTGTGTTTACATTGGATTTGTCCTTAGAAATACCTACTTGTAATTATGTAAACAACTGAGTGGCTTCTCTGTAAAGGATGTAGTTATCCTGTGGTTCAAAACCCTGTATTACTGGCTGGGTATGGTGACTCATGCTGGTAATCCCAGCACTTGGGGAGGCCGAGATGAGATGATTGCTTGAGCTCAGGAGTTCGAGACCAGGCTGGACAACATGATGAAACCACTCATCTCTCCTAAAAATACAAAAACTAGCTGTGCATGGTGGCATGCACCTGTGGTCCCAGCTACTCAGGAGGCTGAGGTAGGAGGATTACCTGAATCTGGGAGGTTGAGGCTGCAGTAGCCCTGATTGCACCACTGCACTCCAACCTGGGCGATAGAGTGAGACCCTATCTGAAAATAAAACAAAACAAAACCCTGAATTCCTGATGAGAATTCATAAACCTCTGAAACCATATGAATTGTGTGTGTGTGTGTGTGTGTGAGTGTATGTATATACAGTATGTATATACATTTTAGGAAGATGATCTATAGATTTCATCCAATCCAAAACCAATTAAAAATCACTATTCTTGAACTTCAGTTGCCTAGGGATTAGGAATCAGTAACAAAGTTCCCCCAAATCAAAGTATTCATTAGAAGAAAAATAACTCAGGCTACCACTGCAGCCACCCAGAGCATAAGCAGCATCATTCAGCACTGGTTTTACCATAAGCCGCCGCCTCAGGAACAAATTGTATCGCTTTGCAGGCTGTGAAGCAACCAATAGAGAATTAGCAAATCCTGCCCCAGAATTACAGTAAAGATTCCAAAAAACAGACACAAACAGACTAACCCTCAGTACGATTATTTTCTAAGTGTGTGTGAGATATTTCAAGCTGGAGGATAGAAATTACCAAGGAAAAAGGAAGAAAAAATGGGTAGAAAGCAATAAACATGTAAAGAAAAAACAAAAGGAGAATTCACAGCAAATTTTCCTAAATTCTTTAAACAGTGACTAAAAATAATATTTGTGGATTTAGATTTTATTTATTTATTTCAAATTTTTTAAGTTCATGGGTATATGTGCAGGATGTGCAGATGTGTTACAACGGGAAATATGTGTCATAGGGGTTGGTTGTACAGATTATTTCATCACCCAGGTATTAAGCATAGTACCCAGTAGTTATTTTCCCAGATTCTCTCCCTCTTCCCAACCTCCACCCTCTGAAAGACCCCAGTGTATTGTTTTCTTCTATGTGTCAGTGTGTTCCCATCATTTGGCTCCCACTTATCAGGGAGAACATGCAGTATTTGTTTTCTGTTTTTGCGTTAGCTTGCTAAGGATAATGGCCTCCATCTCCATACATGTTTCTTCAAAGGATATAATTAAGGAAGAGAAGAGGGAAAAAATAATAATGAAGGAAAATATGGAAATAAGAATATAAAATAAAATAGGTATTTTTTGTTAAGTATTCCTATATATACCAGAAAAAGAAAGTAAAATTACTACATTTATACTGGGATGATGTGTGGTATGAAAAGTTTAAAAAAGTGTTTTTTTTTTTTAATTTCATGAGCATATGAGCATGCAATATACTAGAATACATAAAAAGCTATTCAATTATTCAAATGCTGAGTTGTTTCCAATTTTCAATTATGTGGTCATTATTTAAAATACGAAGGCAATTACCTAAAAATATCTGGGATACTCAACTATATTTGAAAGAAAACCAAACCTATTGCATAAAAGAGCAAGAACTGTGTGTATTTTATAGTGTAACGAATAGATAAATAATCCAATACAATTACTTAAACTAGTCTCTTCCTGGAATATGATGAAGAAGCCTAAGCAACTGGTGACTATTGGAGTGAAAATTCCTTCCCTGTAAACTAATGTTTTCTATTTGTTGATACAGGAGTTGATATTGTTGTTATTTAAAACACAAAAGATACAAGGCAAATGTTGGTCATTGCATAAAGTATATTTTAAACTATATTATTCTGATGGCCTGAAATTTTTCACCTCAGTATTTTTATTTTCTTGGTATCTTTCATGAGATTCACAGGCTACTGGTTTTCTCAGGTGTTTTCCCTAAATTCATTAAAGAATTATTAAGAGAAATAAAAGAGTAATACACTAAAGGACCATGCAGGGCCACATTCTGACTTTCATGGATCATAGACCTAAGCATAAAAACTAAAACCATAAAACTGAAGAAAATCTTAGAAATCTCCCCTAGTTTGGTGTAGGAAAATATTTCTTAAATAGAACACAAAAAGCATCGATGATAAAAGACAAAATATGACAAATTGAACTTCTGCACTTCTAGATGTGCTTTTCTAAAAATCACTGTATATAAATGAAAAGGCAAGAAACAAATTGAAAGAAAATGTTCACAATAAATAAGATTGACAACGGTCCTCTATCCAGAATACATAAACAACTCTTATAAGTCAATACAAAGATAATCAACTCAATTTTTTAAAATGCAGAAAAGATTTGAATAGTTCACAAAAGAAGATCTATGAATGTCCAATATGCCCATGAAAAGATGGGCAATATCATTATTTATAAAAGAAATGAGAATTGAAATCACAAGATACTATTATTCATCCATTAGAATTACTGAAATTAAAAAGCTATCAATATCAATATCAGTATTAATATCAAATGTTGGTGAAGATGTACGGCAATCAGAACCCTTATACATTGCTGGTAGGAATAAAAAATAGTACAATCACTTTTAATAATAATGTGACAGTTTTACATAAAATTACACCTTCATTTTCCACAGGTCCCAGAAATTCTACTCCCAAGAAATTACCCAAGATTAATGAAAATATACATCTATACAAACAGTTCTTACATGAATGTTCATAACAGCTTTATTCATAATGGTCCTCAAACTGAAAACTATCCAAATATCTATGAATGGATGAATGGATAAATAAATTTCAGTTTATCCATACAATGAAACATTACTGAACAGTAAAATAAACAATAATATCTGTAATACAGATATATTCAAAAATAATCAACTTATTAGTAATATTTGGAGTTTTGGATGAGTCTTAGAAACATTATAATAAGCAAAAGCAGCCAGAAGCCAGATACAAAACAGTGTATACTGTAAAATCCCATTTATAAATTACATTAGAAAGAAAAACAAATAAGTAGTTGCCTAGAATAGGGTAGAAGGAAAATCGCTAAAGGGACCTTTTTGAGGTAATGGAAATCTTCTACATAAATTATAGTTTGTTAAAGCTCATCAAACTACACACTTAAAACAGATGCATTTGTGTCCAATGTAGAATCAATGAAGGGGAAAACTTTTTAAAAATTCTGACTTGAGCTACTAAAAGAATATATTGCATGTTGCTGAGATGAGAAAGACTTCAGACAAGCAGTTTTTTTAAATTATTATTTTTGTAGGGGAAGATCCAGAATTACATTTTGGATCTATTAATCTTGAGATATCTTTTAGACATCCATATTCATATTTCAAGAAGCATTTGGGTATTTAAAAGTGAAACTGAGGAGCAATGATTATGCTCAAAACTTTAACTTGAGAATTGAGATGGCATATCAATTGTACTTAAAGCCTTGAAATTGGATGAAAACACTAGGAGACTGAATTAATGACTGAATCATAAGGTAATAATATCTAAATATATGCACAGGTCAATTATAAAAACTGTGCTTATATTCATACTAATTGCTTCTTGTCATTTTACTCAAAGGTTCCTTCTGATTGGTCTGTGCCTATGCCATATCAGTTATTAAGTATTTGGAATATCATCCCTGAGGTTAACAAGGCCCACACTCCTTCAAAATCTGCTAATTGCATACCTGTCATTATTTAATCACCTTTAGTATGCCCTTTCAATTTCCATTCTTTGTTTACCAAACTCTAAATACTTACGAAACTATTCTGTCTAATCCTCTGCAGTAGTCACTTTAAGATAGTTCTCTTAAGCATAATAGTTTCCATCTTTCTATATTTTATTTGGTGGCCTTAGTGACCTTTCTATACTGACAATCTGTGTAACCACTTAGGTACTCAATCAAGTCTACTGTTCACTATTTTATATCAAAATTTTTTAAAATTATATTATTCTATATTTATAAAATAATTTATATTGAGGATCCATCGTAATAATCATAGTAGAAACCAGAGTAGAAACCACAAGACTCCATTTTTTTCCATGAAAACACATCCAGTGATATTCCTCTGGTTTATCCTAGCACATTCCCTCTCCCCTACTCTCCACCCTGCTTTTTGCCCTGTGCAGGCAACGAAGAGCTCCCTTGACCTCTTGCTTCTCACAAATGATTGGAAAGAGTAAGAGTGTTTTCCTTCCCAAGGTTGAATTAGGGAAGGCTGTGTCCCCTCATTAATGGTCACTGAGCCTCTTGATAATGTCTTCAGTATATGATGTTTTCCTTCTGGGTTCCAACAAGTGTTCCTTCCCCTATTCCCTTCAGTTCTATGGATTTTAATAAATTAAAGATTGCTAGACCTATACATACTGAGATTCTCTTACACTCCATCTTTGTAAAAGTCTATCCTACACTAAGTAGGTCTACCAGAACCCTGATTTATACAGATTTTTCTTTTGTGATATTTACACACACACACACACACACACACACATGCACGTGCACACACACACACACACATATATATATATATAAATTTCATGAAGACACAGTTGATTATAGGACTGTGACAGGAAATGTTCAAGATGAGCTTGGAGCATCTTGTCAGAAAGTAGGAAAATACTCCAAACAATACTAAAATAATAATAATAACAATAATAATAATAGGGGTATGTCAGGGGAATACACAAGTCAACTAAAAAGCTCCCAGCCAACTGATATGGCTTATGTCTTGTAATTCCAACCACTCAGGAAGCTTGCGTGGGAGGACTGCTTGAGCCCGGAAACTGAGAGCAACCTGAGAAACACAGTGAGACCCAATTAAAAAATAATAATAATAATTAGCTGGGTGTGGTGGTACACTCCTGTAATCTCAGGGAAGCTGAGGTCAGAGAGGATTGCTTGAGCCCAGGAGTATAAGGCTGCAGTAAGCTACGATCATGCCACTGCACTCCAATCTAGGCAACAGAGCAAGACGCTGTCACTAAATAAAAACAAAACAAAAACAAAAACTCCCAGTAGCCAAAGCTAGAACAATTTAAGCAAGAAAATAAATAAAGTAATATTTGGTTTATAACATAAAGTATAAAATAAACATCCGTAAGTACATACTGACAAAAAGGAAGGAAGAAAGATCTCCTACATACAAAAAACAATTCCAAGTAATTGATTCATCTATAAGAAGGGAGAGCATAATCCCAATCCTTTTGTTGTAGGCTCCAAATAGTGACTTTCTTCTGAAGAATGCAGTATGGAAAGGGAGAAAAAAACAAAAGAATAATTTTACAGTGGAGAAATCTGCTAAACACAACCTCAGGCCAGGTAATCAAGGTTAAAACATTAAGGGTGATAAAGCGATGTTGATAGAATATACCCTTGATATGACAATGAAGAGAATGATGCTTCTATTATCTTCCTCCAAAAACAGATAATCCCAGTCTAATCATAAAACAAAAATCAGGAAAGTCCCAACTGAAGGACATTCTACAAAATACCTGACCAGTATTCCTCAAAACTGTGAAGGATATAAAAATCAAAAGAAGTATAAGAAACTGTCACAAGGAAGAGGAGTCTGAGGAGACGTGACTACTAAATGCAATGCTGCACCCTCAATGAGTTACTGGAATAGGAAAAGAATTAGGGGAAAACTAAGAAAATCTGGATAAAGCATGAGCTTTATTTGATAATAATGCACCAATATAGGTTCATTAATTGTTACAAATGTACCAAATTAATGTAAGATACTAATAACAGGAGAAAATAAGTGTGGGATATAAGGAACTCTGTTTAGACTTTATTTATAATAAAATCTAAAACTATATTAAAATAGTTTATTTTTAAAAAGAAGCCTACTGTTTAACAACTAACTGTTTAACCAAAGATAATGTAATATAGTGAATCAAATATGTCATTTTCAAGTCATTTAGAAATAAAAAATTAAATTATTGGTATTTCACATATTTGGGGAAAGTATCTGCAATTTCTATCACAGGCAGGGAGATAAATATGTAACGTGCTCCAAAATATATATATATATATATAAAAGAAAAACCTAACTTACAGGAAATGGACAAGATATATGAACAGAGTGATCTAGTAAAGTAAATTTAAATGACCACTCAATGTAGAAAAAGATAAGTATCTCACACATATTTTGAGAAATGCAATTCTAAATGATACTAAGATACTGTGCTAAGTGGAATAGCTCCCAATAGCCATTATCTATCCCACTATCATCAGACAGGCAAGAATCTAAAAGCATAACACACTGCTGATAGGGCTGTGGGGAAACAGGCACTCTCACATATTTGTTACAAATACAAAAGGCAGGGGAGTTTGGCAACGTATGGCAAAATTACATACACCTTTTTTCTCTGATAAATAAATTCCATGTCAAAAAATAAAATGACCAAAATATTATAAGACCAAAATATACATATAAAATGACCAAAAATATAATGACCAAAATATACAAGAATTCCCCACTTTAGCAACATTTGTAATAGCATTGGAAAAATAAGCCAAACAAAAATGGTAACTATTACACAAAAGGATTGAGAGCAGAAAGAAGAAAGATTTCTCTGAAAACACTTTCATATTTTCAACTTAAAATAGATTTACCTTCAAGCTAATAAAGTCTAATCTTCAGGGGATCTTACTTGCATCTGCCCCTTGCAAGGGTTTAAGAAGGCTTCTAGCAATGTGTTCCTATGGTAAAATATTTTTGTAAATGTTTTAAAGTAAGATATGTTTTCATATGTTTCTTAAAGAGTGATATCAAAATTGTGTAAGCTTTAGGCTCATCTAAATGTTATTTGATCTGTGGATTTCAACTTTGGAATCATGTAAATGCTTTACATGGTTAAAAAAAAAGTAAAAATAAATAAATAGAGAAAACAAGCCAACAACATTTCAATTGTTTTAATTTGATCAATTTCACAATCCTCATTCCAGAATACTAAATATTAGCACCGTAGTGAAAAGCAAACTATCATCTATGTTAAAATTATCAGTATAAGAATGTAACTCTATTTCCCCATCTTCGCAAACAGCATTTTTTACTTACTAAGAAACTAATGAAAACTTTTTGTCCCTTTATTCACCTTTTAATTGATAATTTAAGTTTGATTTTTAAATGAATTGTACTTCTTCATGATCATCCTCAGACATGTACATACAGACAAGAAGAGTGATGCAATAGAGAAAGAATACTGAACTAAGCCTCAGAAACTTGAATGCTAGTAAATGATTAACACCTTAAACATAAGGATAACTTTAGTCATCTCATTACACCTCTTGGACCCTTCATTTTCTCATTTGTAAAACTGGAAAAAAATAAAATCCAAGCAAAGTGTTATGCTTAGTGTGTCATTCTCATTGATATGTCTGATGTTATTTTTTTTTGCCTACAGAAACTAATATTTTTCCTAAAGTAATACATTCTCAAATACCATGTAGAAGAGCATGTCAAATAACTGAAGTGAAAAAGAGCATCACCATTGCAGACTACAAAAAGATGCCCCATTTGTGTCCATGCAAGAAAGGATAGCACTGATCGCTGCTTACCATTGTTTCTTCGTTGATGAGAAAGCTGGTCTCTCTGCTGCTCAGGCTCTGCTAACAGTACCGGGGGAAGATATAATTCTGTTATTAATAGTGCAGGTGGAGCAAAGGGAGCTTTTAAGATTCGCTAACAAAAAATCTATATTCTCTATGCAGAAACACTTAACCTGGAACCAACTGAAATCATATGCAAAACTGTGGACATATATATGTGTATACACATGCATGTGTGTTCATGTATTTCTGGTATGTATCTGCAAATGTGCCCATGGGGCAGGATGTGTTTGTCTGTAAAGTGAGGGGAGGGAGTGACCTTCAGAAAGAATTAGAATTTGGGAGGTAGCTTTATAAAATCATGAAAAAAAATGGATACAAGAAATGGTTAAGAACTACTCTATACAAAGAAATAACAAGGAAGTCTATCATTTTATGATACTGCATCCTGAACAGGCTCAACAGGAAGGGCAGAATTAATTGGCTATTTTATGCCCTTCAATATATATTTGAAATTATTAAAGGGAATACCTTGGAAAATGCACCATCAAGATTCTTAAGAATTTGAATGTATAACCTTTCCAAGAAAAGCCATACATGTATAAAATACATACAAACCATTTATAATTAATGCAATAACGATGCTTCCCTCTGTGTACAGTAGATTCCCAACTTCTCAGGTTACACAATGGTCCACACACGACAGGACACAGGCCTGAGATAATACCCAATCATTTCTCAGCAGTCTCTAGTGACAGGTACAATAGAATATATGGAGAGACAGCAACTAACAGAAATGATCTGAAATTCATGTACAGATTGGAATTCACTTACCTTGTTCTTGGAAAAATCAAAATTAGCATCTCATTATGCCCAAATAATGCTGGGAAAAATCAGTTTTCAAAATAGCAGCTAAAACATGCTATTGACATATTTTTTTAAATGCTCAAAGAGCACCTTGGAAATATACCCAATGCTACAAAAGTAAAGTAACAGAATGTGCCACAAAAGCAGTAATTTCTCTGTGTTCTTTAAAAGAGAATGAAAGATAATTCTGAATTTTGAAAACATACAATTTTCATGCTACTATATATTTAATATAAATTGCAAGATGAATGCAATCTATTGTACTAAAGTAATACTGAAACAGATGGGAAGAGTTGTGGGAAGACTGAGAATCTGTGAGTAAATACAGGCCCAAAATATAGTTGTAATTATAATCCACTTATATGTGATTCTATCTACTTGTGGGCCTTGAATTAATTCCACTAGCTCATCTAAATACAACAGATAATAAATGAAGTTAAAGAGTATCTTGATCACTCAATTCTGAAACAACAGCCTCTAAAAATAAACTGCGCAGCTACATTTCTGCTAATAAATTTATTATAGCTTCATTTATATTGACTTCTGATGAGTTTTTTCAATTATTTGAGCTTTTTCAGTTATAGAATGTTAGTTATTTTGCTTATAGAAGGATAGAAGAAAACCTTATATTCAAGAGTAATAAAGGCCAGTCACTTTACAGTCTCTCCCTTTAGGAAAAAATCCTTGCTCTGATTTCCAAGCAAAAGATGTGGTTATATTTTCACTTTGCAGAATGTAAAATAAAATAACTTAGATTACTTCTACATTTTGCTGAATCAGTCTCATTTCTTAATAAGCTTAGTCTTAGGCAAAAGGAGAATCCTTGATGTTCTCGATCCTACATTCTCCTCTACTGTAGCTGTGGCTACATGACTCAGGTTGCCTCCTTCCCTGACCCCAACCATTAAAGAATTGACTGAAATGGTACAAAATGGAATGAAAATAATAAATGGATGATTGACACAAACTTCTACTCAAAATAAAACATGGCAAAATTCAGAGGAGCTATAAATAATCATGGAAACTGAATAGCCATCCAAATATTCTGAACCTAAGTAGTAATAATTTGGAGATTCAGGAAAAAAATACTCTATACACGATTCTTAGAATAGCATTTTTAAAGTATTATTTTACAGTGAATATGAAGCTTTAGAATCAGATTACCTGTGTTCAGAATCCCAGCTCCAAAACATAGGAGATTTAACAATAAAACAATTTACATAGTTTCAGTTTGCTTCATAATCTTTTACTTAAATTATATAAAACCCATTAAATACACATGTAAAACTGATTACATTTGTAAACTTGAGCAACTTAACCTCTCTAAACCATAACTTCCATACAGTGAGATTAAATAATACATGGGAAGTTCACAATAAATGTTGGCTTTTTAAAATTAATATTTGCATACTTTCTAGTGATCATATAATAAATTTAATATCTTAATCATATCATCCATGTTTAATTCACATGCATTCTCTGGATTGCCAAAAAGATTGTAACAATGTCCAATGATGGACTCATACCAATTGTAAATCAGAGGTAAAACTGGAATAGCTTTTTAAATGTTTAAGCAATCATAAAAGCACAGAAGACCCTTTCAAAGTATAAAATAATTTTGAAATAATGGACCTAAAATTCCTACATATTCTTCTGTCTTATAAAAGCCTAAACATTCATCATATCTATAAATTTGTTAATGGACAAAATTATTGATTCTAGTAAATTCTGCCTTAATCCAATAGTTGATGAATATTCTATTATAATTTTTTTTGAAAACTGACGGCCTCCTGTCCATAGATGGGGTGAAAAAAATTGACTGCAATGTGTACAGCTTGTATTGTGTCAGTAGAGAAATATAATTTAGCATTGAAGAAAGTGAAATAAGTTGTATTTACTTTTTTTACTTTTTATTTTGCAATAAATATAGCATCACAGGAATTTGTCAAAATAATACACAGAGATCCCATGTAACCCCTACCCAGTCTCCTCTAGTGGTTATTTACATCTTATATAACCATAGTAAAATATCATAATCAAGAAGCTTATATGAGTAAAATGGCTCTGTATGGCTGAAAGTCATTTTGTCACATGTGTACATTTGGGTAAGAGCCAGCCCTGTCAAGGTGTAGAGCTATTCCATCCACAAAGATCTCCCTCATGATAATCCTTTAAATTTACATCCACTTTCCTTCCCTACAACATCCATGTCCCCCGGAAATCACTAATTTGCTCCATCTTTATAGCGTCATTTCAGTAGTGTCATAAAAATAGAATCATAACATATGTGTTCCTCTAATATTTTTCTTTCACTGAGAATAATGTCCTGGAGATCTATCCAAGTTATGTTTATTAATAGGTCATTCCTTTTACTGAGGGATAGTATTCCATAATAAGGCTGTGCCACACTTGGTTAACCATTCACCTGCTGTAGGACATTTAGGTTGTTTCCACTTTTGACTACTACAAACAAAGCTGCTATGAATATCTGTTTAGTTTTTTGTCTGAATATATGTTCACATTTCCGCCATATAAATGCCCAAGAGTATAATTACCCAACTGACATGAAAATTTAGTTTTTTAAGAAACTGCTCAACAGTTTTCCAGAGTGATTGTACCATGTTGTATTTCCACCAGCAATGTATGAGAGATCTAGTTTCTCTGCATCCTCACTAGTAATTTGTATTGTCACTATTTTATATTTTAGCTCTTCTAATAGGCATATATTTACATCTCACTTTGGTCTTATTTTGTATTTTCTAGTGGCTAGTGATACTGCAGATATTTTCATGTGCTTATTTGCCATCACATTTCCTCTTTAGTGAAAGATCTCAACATGTATTTTGCCCACTTTCTAATTGAGCAGTTTGTTTTTGTAAAATATTGAAATTTTATGGGTTCTTCATAAATCATAGGTACAAGTTCTTTGTCTAATACAGGATATACAAATATTTATCCCAGTCTGTAGCCTGTCCATCGTCTTAACAGAATCTTTCACAGAACAAGAATTCTTACATTTAATAAACTCCAATTTATCAATGCATTTCTTTAATAGACGATGTTTTTGTTTGCAGATATGTCTATAAACTCTTCACCAAGACCTGATTTCCAAGCAGTTTGATTCATTTTTTTCTTCAAAACATTGTATACTTTTATGTTTTACTTTTAATCTATGATCAATATTGAATTAATTTTTGTATAACGTTAGATTAAGTTCATAGGTTTGCCTATGAATATAGAAATGTTCCAGCCTGTTTGTTCCATTGAACTGCTTTTGCACATTTGTCCAAAATCATTTGGCTATACATGCATGGGGCTATTTCTGGGATCTCTATTCTGTTTTATTAATCTACATGCCTAACCCTCTCCAAATATCACACAGTCTTCATTAGACTACAGCTAAAAAACAAGTCTTAAAAGTCTTCTTTTTGTCACAATCATATTCTACTTCCTTTGTATTTCCATACAAATTTCTGAATAATCTTGTCTATGTCTATGAAATGTTGTACAGAGATTTTAAATTGTATAGCAGTTTGGGTTTCCATGTGCTCATTACTAGTGTATAGAAATATAAACTGATTTCTATACAATTTTCTTATTTTTTACAACCCTCTTACACTCATTTAGTTCTAGGAAATTTTGTTTTTGTCTTTAATTTTGTAGATTTCTTGGGATTTTCTATGTACATCACGTCATCTGGAAATGGGAAGAGTTTTATTTGTTCCTTTCTGATATGTATACCTTTTATTTTACTTTTTTGTCTTTTAGCTCCCAATTTAATGAGAAGGGTGAAAACATTTTGGCTTGTTCCTCATCTTAGGAAGAAGGTGTTTAGCCTTTTACTATGAAATATAATGTTACTGTAACTGTTGTGTGGAGTTCTTTATCAGGTTAAAGAAGTTCCTCTCTATTATTGGTTTTCTGAGAATTTGTGTTTGTTTTTAGTAAATAGAGTTAAATTTTGACAATATTTTTTTCTGATAAAAATCACATGATTTTTATTTTTTAGCCTTTGGTGACATATATCAATTGTTTTTCAAAAAATGAATGGAGGCCAGGTATAGTGGCTCACTCCTGTAATCCCAGCACTTTGGGAGGCCAAGGCGGGCAGAACACTTGAGGTCAGGAGCTCCAGATCAGACTGACCAATGCGGTGAAACCCCATTTCTACTAAAATTACAAAAGTTAGCTGGGGGTGTGGTGGCATACATCTGTAGTCCCAGCTACTCGGGGGATGAGGCAGGGGAATCGCTTGAACCTGGGAGGCAGAAATTGCAGTGAGCGGAGATGGTGCCACTGTACTTTAGCCTGGGTGACAGAGCAAGACTCTGTCACCTCCACACATAAAAAAACATGAATAGAGTCTTGCATGACTAGAGTAAACCCCACCTGGTCATGGTGCATAATTATTTTTATATTACTGAATTTATTTTTATTTTTTAACTGTCTCTTTTGGTACCAAAGTAATGTAGGCCTCTGACATGAATTGAGAAAGTGTTTGTTTCTCTTCTACTTTCTGGGAGAGATTGTATAAAATTGATGCTAATTCTCCTTTAAACATTTGGTAGAATTCTCCAATGAAACCATTTAAGCTTGGAGATGTCTTTTAGGGGAATTTTAAATTATGCATTAGTTTAATTAGTAGTTACAGCACTATTCAAATTATTGTTTTAATATTGAGTGGATTATAGTTTGTGCTTCTTGATGAATAGGTCCATTTCATCTTGTTGTCAAATTTATGTGTGTAGAATTGTTAGTAGTATTCCTTTATTATCTTTTTGATATCTACAGAATCCATATTGATATATCCTGTTTTATTTCTGATATTTGTCATATATGTCCCAGCCCAACCCAATTTCTGCCAGTCTGGCTAGAAGTTTGTCAGTTTTATATATCTTTCCGAAGAAACAGCCTTTGCTTTCAATGATTTTCTCTAATACTTTCTGGTTTTCAATTGCTTTTATTATTTCCTTCTTCCACCTGCTTTGGGCTTGTTTTGCTCTACTTTCTTTCTTTCTTTTCTTTTCTTTTCTCTTTTCTTTTCTTTTCTTTTCTTTCTTTTCTTTCTTTTCTTTCTTTTCTTTCTTTCTTTCTTTCTTTCTTTCTTTTCTTTCTTTCCTTCTTTCTTGCTTTCTTTCCTTCTTTTTCTTTCTTTCTTCTTTCTCTCTCTCTCTCTCTTTCTTTCTGTTTTGTTTTGTTTTGTTTGTGACAGAGTTTCACTTGTGTTGCCCCAGCTGGAGTGCAATGGTGCGATCTCGGCTCACTGCAACCTCTGCCTCCTGGGTTCAAGAGATTCTCCTGCCTCAGCCTCCCAAGTAACTGGGATTACAGGTACCGTCACCATGCCTGGCTAATATGCTTGCTTCCCTTTTACCATCTGCCATAATCGTCATAAGTTTCCTGAGGCCTTCCAATCATGCTTCCTGTTAGACCTCTGGAACTGTGAGTCCATTAAATTCCTTTTTTTCATAAATTTACCAGTCTCAGACAGTTCTTTATAACAGGGTAAAAACAAACTAATACTGTATACATTTTATCATCATTTGAAATAAATGTGTATTCTGCTGTTGTTAGGTGGAGTAGTCTACAAATGTCAGTAATATCCTATTGGTTGATGATGTTGAGTTTGTCCATGTCCTTGCTGGTTTTCTATTTAGTTGTTCCATTTATAGGGATACTAATGTATACAATTATAATTATAGATTTTGTATATTACTTCTTTCTTTTCTATTCGTTTTTGATTAACATATTATGATACTGTTATTTTTTGTATGCACCTTTAATACTGCTATGTGTCTTGTTGGATAGATCCTTTATCATTATGTAATGTCCCACTATGCCCTGGTAATTTTATTTTCTCTAAAGTATACTTTACATATATTAATGTAGCACTCCTTTATTATAGTTAATGTTTGCATAGATTTGTTATAACATAGGTTTTCGATGCATTTATCATGTTTTTGCTCCACTTTGCAAATCTGCCTTCTAATTGGTGTGCTTAGACCATTTACATTTTATGAAATTCTTGATGTATTAGGAATTAACTCTGCCATTTTATCTTTTTTGTTTTCTGTTTATTCCCTATGTCGATATTTCTGTTTTATTTTCCAGGAGTTTCAGCCATAGGTAGCAAAGAGAATAGGGAAAACTTCCTCTGCTCCAGCTTTCTGGAAGCAAGAGCTGCATTCACTTTTGAACTAATTAATTCAATAATAATATATCTACTTAATAATTCTAAACATTAACAGCCAATTTTTGTTTTTGCTTCAGAGAGATGTCAGTTTTACTCCAAAGTCCTTTATATTGAAAAAGACATGCTAAACCTAACTATAGGTTGAGTCTAATAGGAATTTGGTATGACAGTGCTATTCTCCTCAGAATGAATCCAGACCTGTCACTTGCTTTCTTATAAAGCAAAATTAAAAGCAAACAAGCAAACAAACAAGCCTAGAAGTTATATATTTGAAATTTTTATAATTTAAATTTAATTAAATAAATTTCTCAATTTGGCAAGCTAAAACATAAAGCCTTAAAATTTGAGGAAAATTGTTTCAAGTGAAAACCTGAGCTTGAAGTCAAGAATGCACTAACCATTGTTCTCGAAACGTACAAATAGGTAAGAATCAGCGTACATATGACCTGATGAAATTCTTTTGGTGTTCTAGAAGCTTATTCCTGGAATATACATAAATGTGAAAGATGTACAGAAGCAAAAAACATGAACTGTAATTGAAGTTAACATGATCATACATCTAAAGATCTGTGAGGAGCACATTATTATTATGCCAATATAAGCAAACTGAAAATGACAACATATTTGCCATCATTTAAGCTGGATCAATCTTATGAAATGAATCTTTCCTCAGTCCACTCCAAGACATGAAAACTTTAATGTTTCATATACATTATTTCCAAATAATTGTCTTTACTCACCCACTCACTCAATAAATATGTATTCTGTGCCACATGATTTCACTGTAGTTGTGGCAACATTTCTTTATGACAGTGGTTTTCATCTTTAGTGGCAATAGGAGTCACCTGGAGTACTTTTTTTAATAGTCATGCCCCCTGAGGTTATTCCCAAAGATACTGATTTAGCAGTCTCAGCTTGAGCCCAAGAGTCTACAATTTTCAGAAATTCTTTGTGTACATTCTTATTCCTTTTTATATATTGATCTGCAAACACTATAAAATCGCTGTCCTATGTGATCTTCATAGTTCCCCCTGGTTCTCATATTATTTCCCTCACCATTTAGGTCACTGAACTTTTATTTCTTTTTTAACTTTTATTTTAAGTTCAGGGATACAAGTGCAGATGTGTTGCATACGTAAACTTGTGTCATGAGGGCTTGTTGTACAGATTACTTCATCCTCCAGGTATTAAGCCCAATACCCACTAGTTGTTTTTCCTGATCTTCTGTCTCCTCCCACCCTCCATCCTCCATCCTCCAAAAGGCCCCAGTGTGTGATGTTCCCCTCTATGTATCTGTGTGATCTATTAATTTAGCTCCCAATTATAAGTGAGAATCTGTGGTATTTGGTTTTCAGTTCCTGTATTAATTTGCTAAAGATAATGGGCCTCCAACTCCATCCATGTTTCTGCCAAGGACATGATCTCATTGTTTTTTATGGCTGCATAGTATTCCATAATATATATGTATCATATTTCCTTTATCCAATCTGTCATTGATGGGCATTTAGGTTGACTCCATGCCTTTGCTTTTGTAAACAGTGCTGTAATGAACATACACATGCCTGTGTCTTTATAAAAGAATAATGCATTCCTTTGGCATATACCCAGTAATGGGATTTCTGTGTCAAATGGTATTTTTATCTTTAGGTATTTGAGGAATTGCCACACCATTTTTCACAATGCCTAAACTAATTTACATTCCCAACAATAGTGTATAAACAATCCTTTTTCTCCACAGCTTCACCAGCATCTGTTATTTTTTGATTTTTTAACAATAGCCATTCTGACTAGTGGGTCACTGAACTTTTAAAGGAACTCTGTAACTTCTGAGAATCTTAATGAGCTTATTCAGCCAACTAGCACATAGCCAACCTATTCTAGAAGGATGTGTTGTCCAAGCAGGAATTTCAGTCATTCCTGGAAATTTTTTAAAACCCTGTTTACATCTGTCTAGACATCCTGAAACCATTCAAGGATATCTACCTCTGTGAGAGCTACACATAGGATTCTGTATCAACTAGAGCCTATCAGAAAAATTATTTCATTGAAATGCCTTTAACATGCTTATATTCATTATAGAGCCAATATAAATTGTTTGTATTTTTGGACAAATAATATAAGAAGGCCTTTGGTTAAAATAATTCTGAATTTTTACGAGTTGTATTTAATTTATTGTTCTATCTAATGTGTTTATACAATTCAGCTTGAACCCCAGTAGAATCATAAATAAGCACTAATCATATACTAATAACTGTAAAATAATAAGCTACCATAGACTACGCTTGCATTACATTATAGCAAAATGTTAAGCCAAATACTAGTATCTCATATATCAATTCTCAGCATATCTGAGTTTATTTCAAACAGAGCCTCAAAACAAATTCAAACATCTTTTTGTTCCTTTATAACATCTAGAAAAGATCCAATATTAAATCTGCATGGAACATGGATCTTGCTTTAGCTACTAAAAAATGAACAAGTTAGAGGACAAAATAGAATGTATTATAAGTAATTAAGTACAAAGACTTAGTTAACCTTATCTTGATTTTTTTATTCTGATTTATAAGGAAGCTAATACATATATATTTAACTTACCTCACTCATTTGGAAAGAGTAGTCTATGTCTTTGTGGGCTATTTTCCCTAAATTAAATAAGAAAGACAAAAACATGTTAAATTAGCCAGATGATCAGAATATGTTCAAAAGTCTGTATAAAGATAAAATAGGAATTCAATGAATTAAAAAAACTCAAAGAAAAAAATATTAGAAGAAAAGACACAAGACTATTCTGGAGCTAAGTTGTTTAAAATAGACTCCAAAAGAAGTCTTACCTAAAACTGTCTATAATGGAAAAAGCATAAAACACTGATGTGTAGAATACAATCTCAATTACTGAGAAATAAGCTTTACTCTGATCAATGCAGTTACCAATCCATAACAATAAAACCACTAAGAGGGAAATATCCAATAGAGTATCCATTGATATCTCTTAGTTCTCATCATATGAGATTTAATATTCTCTCAGCTTGTTTTCCTGAAATCAAACCAGACAGGTTGCAAGTAGAACACTATCAGAGTACTACCAGTTTCTAAACAGGCCAAAGTACTTTCCCTACACAGGGATAGCTTTGTAATGGTTATACATGTAGTCATTTGCACTAAAATACAAGCTCAAATAAGTTTGTGATGCAAAAAATTGTTAAATATAGAAATGAAATTATTTCAGTTCTAAATATAGAAATGAAATTTTCTAGTGATTCCAATTTGAAAAAGCCCTAACATGGAAACCATCATTCTCAGCAAACTGACAGAAGAGCAGAAGATCAAACATCGCATGTTCTCACTCATAGGCGGGTGTTGAACAATGAGAACACATGGACACAGGGAGGGGAGCACTACACACTGGGGTCAGTTGCGGGGAAATAGGGGAGGGACGGTGGGAGGTGGGGAATAGGGGAGAGATAGCAAGGGGAGAGATGCCAGATGTAGGTGATGGGGATGAAGGCAGCAAATCACACTGCCACGTGTGTACCTATGCAACAATCTTGCATGTTCTTCACATGTACCCCCAAACCTAAAATGCAATAAAATAAATAAATGGGGGGAAAAAAGAAATATTTAAGTCACAAACTTCCTATGTAAAATTTTTTTGGAGAAAATGTCACAATGGGAATGGTATAAAATGTTAGCACTTTAAGTTTGACTATAATTTTAGAAATAGAATAAAAAAACAGTGAATGAAACTGGACAGAGAGCCAGAACAAGATACCTCATTATATTGAAACTTGATATTGAACCATTGTAGGGGTTGACTAATGTCTGTCCCACACACAAATTCATGTCCATCTGAAACCTTAGGCTGAAACCTAATTTGGAAATACAGCCTTTACAGATGTAATTAGTTAAGGATCTGGAAATGAAGTTATCCTGGATTTAAGGTGGGCTCTAAATCCAATGATGGATGCCCTTCTAGGAACAGAAGAGGAAACAGGCACAGAGGAAGGCATTATGAAGATGAAGGTAGAAATCAGAATGATGTGTCTACAAAGCCAAAGAACACCGAGTATTTCAGGTGCTATGGCCTGAGTGTGCTCATGGTGCAGAACCATTATGAATGGGATTAGAGCCCTTATTAAAGAGATCCCAGAGAGCTGCGTTCCCTCTTCCATCATGAAGACACAGTAAGAAGATGCCCTTATGAGGCAGGAAACAAGCCTTCACCAGACACTGAGTTCAGCACCTTGATCTTAGACTTCATATCATCCAGAACTGTGAGAAACAAATGCTTGTTTTTATAAGTAAAAAATAATAAAGCAATAGCATAAAACCCAAAAATATTAAAAAAAATAAATCTACCATTTGTATAGTTTTTTCACAACCCAAGTATGATAGTGCAATTCATTTTCACAGATTACAAAAATCACTCAGTTATTCTCTTAAAAATTTAAACCCATTATATACATATATTTACACTCAACAGAAATTCAGCCATTATAGGTCAACTACTGGATAAGGTCCAAAGTTTTCCACAGAGGAACATTTTGGTTTTTGATCTGTACATAGAGATACAGAAGTTTATCTTAAAACAAGACTTTATGTAAAAATAAATACTGGTTTGTAAGAAACCTTTATTATATTTATAATTTTATTTTCTTTCAAAAAGCAGATTTATGGTTCATAGCTTTGCTAGTATAAAATGGGGCCATTCTCGATATAAGTTCTTTGCCTTTGGCAAATAGAAAAACTCTTTAAAATTAAGTAAAACTAAACTACCTCTCCAACCTCACCCTTTTGAGCTCTTAAGTCTGGCCCACTAGTCTCCCTTCAGACCCTTATATCTTCTTCAGTTCCATTCTTCTTTGTGGGGCCTTAACACACAATTATTCCTCTGCAAGGAATGCTCTCTGCCATAGATTGAATGTGTTCCCCAAAGTTTTGTGTTGGAAACAACCTGCAATGCAACAATGTTGAGAGGGGATTAGGTCATGAGTGTTCTGCCCTCATAAATGAATTAGTGCTATTATCACAGGAATGGATCTGTAACTGCAAGAATGGATTTGTGATGAAACAAAGTTAGGCCCTGTCACGTGTAGCGTGCAGATTCTCTCAACAAGTGATGCCTTCCACCATGTTATGACACAGCAAGAAGGGGCTCACCAGATGTGGTCCCGTCTTGGACTTCCCAGCTTCCAGAACATGGACAAAATCAACTTCTATTATTTAGAAACTACTCAGTCTGTAGTACTCTCTTGTAAGAGCACAAATGGGAATAACAGACTCTCTCACCCGCTACCTTGCCCTGGGTAATTCTTCACATCCTTCAGATATCAGCTTGAAAGTCATTTTCTCTCCTGGGAAGCCTTCTCACACTTATCTGGCTAGTTCAAAGCATCTGATGTATCTCTACTTGATGGCACTTGTCAGGGTTTAAATTTTACATGAATATGTGTGCTTTTTGATTAATATCTTTTTATCCCTAAAAGTGATAAAATCTTTTTATCCTGAAAAGTGAGCACAATGTCTGATTTTGTTCTTTTAGCGTACTGATTGGCAAATGAAAGATGGCTTGATAAAAACATTTATTGAAAAATTGAATGAGCAAGCCAGCAAGGGAGCCAAGTTCATCTACTACTGTGGCTGCAAATGATAAGCCAAAATATATTGATAACTTGCCATGTACTGGCCCTGTGCAAAGAGCTATAACAAATATTTACACAGCATTTCCTTTGTATTACATATTATAAGTAATCTAGCAATGATTTAAAGTATATGCGAGGATGTGCATAGGTTACATGCAAATATTATGCCATTTTATATAAGTGACTTGAGCGTCCTAGGATTTTGGTGCCAGTGGGAGATCCTGAAACCAATTCCTTGTGGATACTGAGAGACAATTGAACTCAAACACATACATAACACACCCACACAACTTCTCCTTCTAGGTGAAAATTCAAATCCTATGTCAGCAATTTTTAAAGTACTATCTGCCAACCCCTGTCAAGATATAATTTATTTTACTTTTTGTATGTGTCAAATTTACATATTTTTTACTTTTATAATAATATTAAAACTGTATTTGTCTTTTTCGTTCTGTTGACATTTGCACCAACGATGTAAAAACAATGGGATTAAACTACTGTTGCCATCATATGAATTAAGGCCATAACACAAGACTATACTAGTAGTCATTATATTCTCTACCATCATGCACTGTCAGTACCAAAAAGAAACAAAAATCTAGTTCAACCTAAAAATGTCCTTGATAAACACTAAAGCTTATGAATTTTATAAAATATTGACCCTGAACACACAAATTTTTAATAATCTATAAAGAAACAGTAAGAATGCAGGAAGAGCTGATGCTGCATTCCAAAGTACCATCGTTGCCTCATGAAAAAGTACTTTAAATTGCAACTAAAGTAGCTAAATTTTTCATCAAACACCAATTTAGTTGAAAGTTTGGCTGGAAAACATATAGAGTCATGTAGACTTGACTATTTATCAGATACTATCTCAAAAATTAATGACATGACTCTATCACTTCATTGAAAACACCTGACGGTATTTATTACCAAGGATAAGACTTGAGCTGCAAATGAAATAATTTTTGTAAACTTGTGTCTGTCACTGTGACCTTAACAGATCCCCAAGGCATTCCTGATAAGATCAGTGATGATGTTAGCATCACTTCGGTATTTTATAATGATATATATCAACATTTGGAAGACCTGTATAATTTAGTAGACAACTGTTTTCCAGATAAGCAATACATGATGTTACAAAACCAAAGTGCAAGACAGAACAATAGATTTTAATGAAGCAGTGACAGAAAATTCATTTCAATGGTTTCAAATTCTGCATTACATCTAACTGTAAAGAACCTATTATTCATTTAATTTGGGGGAAAATCAGAGAAGAACATCCATAATTGTATGAAAACTCTTTAAAATTATCCTCCCTTTTCAGCTATATATCTGTAAGAAGCCAGATTTTCTTTATACACTTCAATCAGAATACAACACATCACAACAGAGTGAATGTAAATGCAGATATGAAAATATCTGCATTATATTTTAGCAGGCCAGAGATTAAAGAGATTTTTTTAAAGTAAAACAATGCACTCATCACTAAATTTATTTTGTTTTAGAAAATATACCAATTTTCATAAAAAATATGATAAGATGAAACAGAAGATTCCTAGATGTAGGAAATTTGAGAAGATGCCATTTAATAAAATAGAAAAGTCTGTTAATGATGGGTGACTGATACAACAGAGGCTACAGAGTACTAACAATTATTTTTCCTCCTCCTTCTTCTTTTCTAATAAAACCCTAATTATATGCTGTGTTAATATACTCAAGCAAATAAAACATTTCCTAGCCTCTATCACAAGAGTATGACATAAATTCAAAGCTCTCAACTATCATAAATGGGATGTCTATCTCATAACGTTTGTGCAAACCTAAATAGATAATGCAGGTACTTGGCATGCAGGAGGTAAATGAATGTTATTCTTGTTGATATTGTTATTATTCTATTCTAATATTAAGCTTCAAAACTGCTGTAAATTCTTTGGTCTACATTTCAGAGTATTGGAATAAATTTGAAATAATTCCTTTCATATTCAGATATTTGTGTTGCA